ATTAGATGTCCGATAAAGAAAAAAAGAATCAAAACATATAAAACAGAGTAGCGAATGCGACGTATCACGAAACTGAACAGATCTGGAACTTTAGAATTTTTTACAGTGAGCTCAAAAAGGCCCTTGAACATCCTATTAAATGCATTGAATAACAAATTTTTTTCAGTAATACTATTTTAATATTTTAGTATATCTCTACGTCACTGACGGAGAACAACGACTCGAGGAAAAGAAGAACGGAAAACGCTCCCTGAATGATAAATAAAATGTATTTCACCTCTTTACCGGGAAACACAGAGAGAAACGTCATTACCGGTCAGTTATCACGTTTGCAAATTATTTGCCCTGTGTAAAGATAAACCTCGTTTTATGCGCTGTTTTCCGTATGATCACCAACGTCCGTACATAAAATACTCAATCAACTTACAAACATCGACTAACGAGAAAGAGGAACGAACAACATTCTTTATGCGGAGAGTAGCAAGTACATGAAGAGAACATCCTTCAAACTACTTGCAAAATCAAACCTGACAAAGAATTGTGCATAAAACCGTTACCCAAATATCAGTAGTTCATTTCACCCTACCAAAAAGAGGATGACATTTCATGTGCCACCCAGCTGAAACTTCTCCTTATCAGAAGCACAGCACTTAAACCATAAATAGCGACCAACAGGGTTTTCTCGATATAGTATGGCAATCATATCAAAAATATGACAAAGACGATAAAGGTTCACTTAACAGTCAATGCATCTGATTATCACCATCGTTAGGATCATCGAGGGGACGGAGTGACTGTGACAAAACGCTTCCCAAATTAAAACCATGTCGTCGTTGTCTTACGTTTTGGGTTGCAGAACCGAGTGTTGAAAATGTTAAGGGAGCAGCAAAAAACGGTTAAATTATACACAATACGAAATATAGTGGCTTACGTGATGACAGATTGATTCTCTTGGTCTTTTCAAAATAAAATTTTGAAGGTTTTTGATTTCAGTTGACATCATTCACAGCATCGAGTTCGTTATTAGTTCGTTTACAGAAGCCTCTTAGCTACAACGGCCAACTGAGCTTCTCACGACCCTTCATCTTGAAAAAGACCCGTGAAGTATGAGTAACGATCTGCTACCTGATAGACCATTATATTCCGTTGTGTATAATTAACCTGCTTTAGGCGCCGTTGTATTCGATATAAATACCTACATCTGACAGAAAATGTCGGTATTAGAACCAGATGCCGGATTTAACTTCGGTAGGCTTAGGGAACCTCTGTACGCAGGTCATCGTTCCATGATATACTAGCTGGTATTCAGATATGCCTTTGTTAGACCCAACACAAAGATGCACGGATGATACAATAATGCTGCATAACCGCAGTCTCCTGAAAGGATACCGTAGGCCGTTAGAAGCAAGCAGAAGGTGTGGTTACGCCGTATCAACTGAAGAAGCGACACATTTCTCATACTGACCGGTGGTACCATAATCTAGCTTAGGTTATCAAACTGAGACAAAATGCACTGCGCATTTTTCATTGATATGATCATCGTGAGAGTTGTCCTCATTTCTGGCGCACCTATAAACCAAGTCGACGTTCTTATAGCCTTCTCTGTTCCATCTCAATCTCTGACTAAGTGACTTAACGACTAAGTCTTTCCAGCACTTTATTTACATGCTGACTATCAATTTATGATTTTCATCTACCCCTCATCTGTATAAGACAGGCACTGATCTCAAACTGACCAGAGCCTACTGAATAAAGAAAACCGTGTCAAAGTAAAATCTGAAACCACCGTATGATTGCTACGTGAATCCTCAAATATACTCATATAAGAAGCACGCAAAAGAAAGCGTATACAGGGAAACCACGGCGAGTTCTGAACACAGCATTTTCAAGGTGTAAAATTAATGAAGACGTCATCACGTATGCTCTCCCTTTATTTGCTGTTTTTATCAATTATGCAGTAGTGTTTAATCTAAAATATTTTGATAATCAAACAGTAACAGCCGAAAAAGATTTATTTCAAAACTTCGCGAAGCAGTTACGTCATTTGCATATAAGATTGACTTCATTGTACAAATCAAAATGATCCTACCAGAAGCAGTGAATAATGTCAGTCCTTTTCCGCAATAGTCGTCAACTGACGTTCGATCTCTTCTTCTGTTAAACGTCTAAAAAAGAACAGTGAAACAGAAGGTTCATTAATCAACTCACTTGCCTCAACAGAACACAGACAAAAATTAACAGAAAACAGTTAGAACTGAGAAGTATCACAGTAAAACCAATTGTACAAGACTAAATACCTTCGATCGTTTTAAAGTCAAAGGTATTCCAAATAACAAGCTTTACAGCTTCCTATAGTGAAAAATAAGCGTCCCCTTTCGTTTTTCCAGAAAGAGCATGAATATTCGTTCGCAACGTAAACGTGCGTTTGGTAGCTTCACACATTCTGAAGAGTGCCTTAACTTTTGGTCTTCAGCCAACGTGCATACAGGACTATGGGCAATGACGAGAATACGCGACTTCCCGTAAGCAATAAGTGCCACAGACTATATCTAGCTCAGTTGTTGAGAAAGTATGGCAAAACAGACAGACAGAAGAACAAATAGTTTTGTAAACAAGCAAGTCTTCAAGGATTCATTACCACAGTTATGAAGAGAATGGTCCATATGCCTCAATGCATATTCATATCTACGATGTCATACAGCGCATTCATATATTGTGAATATATAAGATTAAGTAAACGAAGATAATATAAGATTAAGTATTGATAATAATCTTTTTAAATTCGTTCTCGTTCAACACCTATAATAACGGAGGAAAATAACAGAATATGAAGAGGGTAAACGGACTTACATAATTAACTGCTATAACAGCGACTACAGCACAATCTAAACCCTCAAATAGAGCAATTCCGCGCCTGTTGACTGCGCTAGTGATAGGGGACAATCAAGCTGATTCTGTGACGATTACGCTGCGGATGAAGTCATGCCACTTGTTGTTGAAGAGCCGCATGTGGAAAGCCTCAAGAATGTTTTCATTCGCTATATGCAGCGTACAGGTTTTGGCTCCATGTAGCAGTACAGGCAAAATAGAGGCGCAATTTTAGCACAATACAGAAGGGCACTCGAAGACCATATGCGCGACATAGTGTTCACAGCGAAAACCTCGGGTCTTCAACGCCCGAACAAGATCTCTAACTTCCTCACCTTCAACTGCCTGACCGTCCACATAAACATTAGCAGCTGCCGCGTAAGTCAACAGGATTTGTACCTTTGTCTTTGGCCAGATCTCCAGGTCCAGCCAGATCGATGAGTTAGGATAAGTTCAGGTAAACAACTTTAACTACATCAAGGTGAATATGCGTAACAAAAAATTATGCAACAACAGTCTACTCATTCTTTTCAAACAGTAAAAAAACAACTGATAAAAAATCACACGGTATAGCAAACTTAAACTACTTTAATTTAACGTAACAATTCTATCAAAGGCCCTATACAATTCAACTAAGATCCACGGGTTATATGATAATTAAACGTCGACCACTGAATATTTACCTGAACATCGGATGGTCCTTCGATACCACGGCAGCTTCTAACTCAGTGGGCCGCATGTCAATAGCAAGACAGGACTGAAGACACTGAATCGGCAGCTGAAAAAACAAGAGCAAAATTCTGAGTCAAAATTAACAATAATCATATTTGCATTAAACATTAAATTATTTAAATTAACGACGAAAAATGTATTATTCTGATCAAAAGTTGAACACAATTATAATACATTCATAAAAACTGCGAAATCATGACCTCCACAGGTATTCATCAGCAAGTAAACGGTACTCAACCGACTATGACTGCGTGTAAATAAGGAAACTGACTTCGGAAACACCATGGCGATATGTACATGCGAGGTTCATACATGATCTGAAGGTGCTAAAATACCACGCAGTCGCAATACGCTTAAATGACCTGCGAAACACTATAAAACCTGATTCAGTAAAGCAGTTATGAATAGTAAACAAAACTAGCTAGTGGTCTAGTTGGTTGATTTGTACCTATATTTAAACAGGATCATGAATCAGACTAAGGGTCTTTCATATTTGGGGTCCGGTGGCACAGTGGCAAAGTGGCCGGCTTCGAACTCCGGAGGTGTCTGGTTCACATCATGAGAAAGAAATATTGCCCTAACTACTAATTCCCTTGAGCAAGGAATTCGCCCCCTGCTTTGCTTCGGTGCAATTAACCGAGAAACGAATAGTAGGGACAACGCGGTAGAGTGGCGTGATTACACAGAATGAGCAAGAGGTACAATCATGCTCTCTGAAGCGAGCGCCTCAGAGAGCTGCAATCTGTCTTGATCTACGTTACAGCTGTGCCCGTCCAGTGTAATAATCAGCAAAAGGTGCAACCCCTGTTGTTGCTGTTTCGTACATGCGAAAGACAAGGATGTCGACCCATGCCGCCGTTACAGCCGGGAAATACACGGTTTCCTTCTCCTAGGCAGGCTGGTCAGTTACGCACCTTCCGAATGCATCAAGCCGGTCACTTTACATGGAGTCTGCTTCCCAACGCACGAGCTATCAGAAACTGTCTATTTACTGCTATTTACTACAGAATTTACTGCTCTGCCTTGTGCTATTTACCGTCACTGCAAATATTTAGCAATCGAACTTAGTCTCTACATCGACCCTCAGAGAAAACCTCACAGCAAAAATCGTGTCATATTCATACTATTTTCATCAAGTTAATTTCATTAATTCAATTCTTCGGTCTTCAGGTATTTTGAGTATTTTGTGGTGATCATGGGAAGCAACTATAACGAACTGAGGGCTTATATAAAGACATATTTACTGCCCAGTACACAAAAAGGTTTCGCGTGAATAGCACTGCATCATCTGAACATCAGTTTTCCTGACTTTGTTGTTTCAGGTAGGAAGCCATTCAAAATTACGCCTTTCACTTAAGCATCTTGCCAGTTAGCATTAACATATGCAACTACCAACGGATTTATGCGACCTGGTTACCCGACTGAACCCTTACCTGAATCGTCTCTTGTTCATCGAAGTCCTGCTTCTTCCTGATCTTCTTTTCCAGGAAGCTGTTCGCCTGATGTTGCTTTGGTCCAACACCGATTCCTCTGAAACTGCAAAAGAAGCCGGCTGGATCCGTCTTGTAGATTAAGGGACCTTTTTCGTCATCGTACGCGATCAGTACCATCGCTAAAAAAATAAACGCGCTGTGATTAACCAGAAATGAACGATCTCTTTCGTGCAGCACTCACAACAACCGAGAGGTCGCATTTCCGCGTTTTGAGTGTACACCTGATTAATGTCTGACAGCCGCCTTGCAAGCAGATCACCGGTGATGTCATATCCGTATCGGTACTTCCATTTGCCGGCCTCGTAACGAGCACGCTGAATTTGAGAACGGCAATCAGCTGAAATGAAACAAAAGGTTATGCTGACTACAATTAATGCTGACTCGAAACACGTTTGCTCATATTTATAAATATTAGGGCTATATGGTTTGCAAGACGGTCGCATGAAACCTTTCGCACTTTAAATCCGTTAATTGATATACAACTCACTGTCACGACTTCAAAAACTTGTTTGTATTCCGTCTTCTTCAAGTTATGTATGACATATTCGATGATTATAGACACAAGATGGTTATCACACGATGGCTGCGGTTAAAGTCTTTGTTTTGCTGCCAAAGTTTCAACCAAGCAAGCACTGAGGTTTGTACATCTAATCGTCTTTCCAGTACCAGTTTCGCAGTTTGAATAATAAAAGTATACGTTACCTGCTACCAATATACATAGGAGCGATCATCTTTAATGATAAGTGGGCATAGGTTCAAAGCATTTAGCCCTAAGCCCCTAAATTCTATCTGTCTGTTATTCGCTATGCCTTGGTCGAAATGCTTCACAGTCAAACCTCAATATCCAAAACAGTTCACTGCAATTCTTAAAGAACTATTGCCCTCACGACTGAAAGGAAGACATGTAACTTTCTTGAACATGCAAACGTTTGATTAGTACAGGCAGCATTAGGCCGGCATGTAAAAAATACTTATGGAGAGGTAAAACTAACATTAACCATAACAGTGACAGAGAAAGGAAAGGACAGTTTGTAACTGCTGGAATGTTGGTCTCTCCTGCTACACTAAGGGGTCATTTTAGGTGCTCATCTTTTCATGGAATTAATGGTTAGGCACTGAACTCCATTCCCATGCCATCAGTCAGGAGTGCCTTATTTTAAATGCACAGTCGACAGCAGCCATCTGGCAAGTATAATGTGTAGCTTCCTGTTTCCCTCCCACAGAATGGCAACCATTTATCAACATCAAGAAGGAAAATGGCGAGTGAACTAAGCGGGGCTTGAACCCAAGACCAGACTCGGCTGTGAGTCTGACACTGTAATGACTGAGAAATCCTAGGCTAACTGTGATTCATAAACTATACACTGTATAGCAAAACGCAGAATCCTACCTGTACGAGTTCATTAAAAGGGATAGGAAAAAACAGTAATAAGAAACAGTAGAACAGGAGCCTGTGATGTAACTATTGGTACCAAAAGCCAGTAGAATTTCAAAAAGCGAATAGCGCTTCACCGTAAGAACATCTGGTCGAACATCACGAGAAAAGAAAGAAACACAAAATAACCAAACGTCATGGTTAAACGAAATCCCTTGATCTGCATTATCGATTTAGACGAGAGTCGTAAACGACTGTGAGAAACGTAGTCACGACGAGGCTTTAGCGACTAAATGCCGACCCATGCATTTTCACGGCACAAGGACATAACTTAACCACGAAAATTCAATGACATATGCCCAGTTTCTTGGCAAGTTCAAAAAATATTATAGACGTACAAATAAGTAATAGACAAATGTACATAACATTATAAATAAACAAAATAAATCTAATAAACTGCGTATGTAGTGCCATCACGACGGAGCACGAACCATGGGATCGGCTGTGTCGGACGTTGGACACATAATATGGCACAGATCGAAGCACGAAATGCGTCACTTCGTGAGTAGTCTTGTGCGCTAAGCCTGAACTTTAATGACTGCCGAGAAGTGACAAACCTCCAGCCGATGGGGCAAGTGGTAATTGCAGTAAATATACAATAAATTTCTCACGAATTTCATACATAACACTCGTTTTAATTTAGACAATAAACAGACCCGTACATGAAATTTCAATC